CCCTGTTTATTTAAATGATTTAACTTGAAATGAATTCCATCTTCACAAATCGAAAGTTGAAAACCTATTCTGTTATTTGGTTATTGGATTTTATCATGTGCTGACGCCGGTTAGAGAACCATTGAAAAACCTAGAAGTGCTGGACAGCCGTTTGTTCCTAGTTTGAGACTCTTCATCAGTACGTACACACCACAGGGGTTCGAACCCAGGACCTTCTGGTTACAAATCAGCGAGCTTGTAGACCATTAGGCCACTGGGGGGAACCGATCCAATAGCCAGTCCATGAATTCCAACATCTGTCAATTCACGACATAGCGCGACCGTTAGCCAATGTCTTCGGCGAGTTTTTATCCTCACATTCGACATGCTGCATCCCACTGGTCACTATGTCCCACTAGAACCCCAGGTAACTAACTACCTACCTGAATAGGTCTGGTTTCTAGTGAGCATGCCATTCTATTATATTCTATTACTATTGATTGTTTGGATAGTGTTATTAGAAGCCATGGATTATCTGAAAACTGTGATGTATTTGTGCTATACATTTCGAACAATCTGATCCCTAACACATTTACTTGTCAAATCGTATATATATATATATATATATATATATATATGAAAAATTTAAGGGCAATTAAATTAAACAAAGTGACATAAAGGATTTAAGAATAATAAACACAACATTTGGTAATCCAATCAAATAAAGATTACCAAGGTAGTTGAATTAAGAGTAATAATAAACTGTTTTTGAACACACTGGGTGGATGGGGGTGGGAGCCTAAGCTGATGAATAACTATAGTCTCAGCGTATATCAACCGCTCTTGATCATTTTTAGAGATAACCTTAAAGGCCGTGTTAACATCAATCATCTTGTGGTTCATCTCGATTAGATGTTTGGCTGTAGATGAAGGTAGTAGTCGTCTACCACCTGTGTCTATTGATTTTCCACATTTCATTTGTCTTTCTAACCATTTCGGGATATGCTGTCCCACTCTGGCATGCAAATTTATAAAAGGGACTAAGTGTCTTAAATTATTGATTTGTAATTAATATTAATTAGGTAATATTCATACATAAATTGTAGATAATTGATTAATTTCATAAGGATTTTTATTGTAGCTTTTTTCTTCAAATTCCTGAAGTAATCTTACTACTAATTTTATTCACACCGACTTATTGATTAACAATTATTGACTGATGACTAATGTCATATCTTAATACGGAAAAAATATCGATTAAATCATGTGGTATACAGTAAATATCGTAAAGTTATTATCAGGAGTTGCTATTATTAATTTACAGTAGATAGCTTTATTTGATATAACACACACACATACACAGTGGTAAAGTATGAATAACTCGACGACGACGTTCTGAGCACAATTTATTGCTGCTCATGTAACGACAGAAGAAGACAAGGGCCAGGGAACAGATCGTTTATCGAGAAAATCAAGAGATATTTATAGATTTTTATGCAAATTAGTATTCCTTATTGTTAGCACAGAAACAGCGTCTTCTGATTGGTTGCTTTCTCGCTGAAAGTTAATCTGTCATCTCCTTGTGGCCGTTTCTTTGAGGTCAGACCATATATCTGCGAATCTTATCCGCCCACGCTAGGTCTGCTGTGATTGGTTGTTGAGTTCCTCAAGGCTTTGTTCTTGTTATTGTTTTTCTCATGACCAAGATTTAGGACGTAAGCATTGGCATAAATTGTTGTCTACCAATTTTGGCTAGTAGACAGTTCTCACCATACTCATAGTTATATCAGTCTATTACAGACGTCTTGCACCATCTAGTTTTTAAAAATGTTATTTTCCATGTGTCGCAGATAGGCGTTGCGTCATTCAGATTACACTTGTTTGATGTTTACTAACAAAGATTCGGTGATCAAGCTCTGTGTGTGTGTCTCTCTCTCTCTCCAGCTAATTATATTACTGACTGACTCTACATGCATTTCATTGCCCGAACCATTTTCCACATTATCCTAATTTAGCTGTTATGAACAATATTCCTATTTCTATGCTCTTACAGTTTTAATAATAATCATTCCTGAGAGGTATTCATCAATCAATGTTTCATTTTTTTAGATTACGTAAAACCACTTAGGGTGAGGACAAAATTTATCGCATTATGCCTTCGTGCATAGCATAGCATGGCGAAATATGGTCCATGGGATATTTTATGTTTATAAAAAATCGATAAATCAACTTTAAAACAAGTGAAAATGCAAGAAATTGCTAAAGTAAGATTCACCTCTACTTCGTTTCCACCTCATTGATGGAATAGTCCAAAGGCGGTCACCCTAGGTAATTTGTGTTCATTGCCTTCACATGGTTAGTGCGTTCTTCGCAAAAGCGAGATAGCGAGTAGGAATTTCTGGCGTTACAAATGAACTAGTTAATGGACATGTAGGTCTACCTAGTGAAGGTGAAATAGTCTGATTCGAAACCTCTGTCTTCGGAATCTGAATGGCGTATGGACCTGGCTTAGTCACTGGAAACCATGGAATGTAGCTCTTGACACTGCTCCACTGCCTTGTAGATCGAACTCCAAGTCATGAGCCTCTAAGATAATCACCTGCTTTGACTTGAGCATCCGAGCATTATCCAAGACCTTATGCAAACTAAAAGATATTGTTTGGCGTATCTGTTGGTGTCCATAATTGTACTAAGTTTGCGATCGAGTAAAATAATAATAATAATTAGTTGGTGTTTTGCACGATCTTATGTGTTATTTTCTATGTTACGTGTTTAAAGGAGAGTACTGTAAACATTTCAGATGTTTTAAAGTTATTCTATGGATTGCTTTTTTTACTTTACACTGCGCAATTTCTTTTGCAACGATTACTATACTATGCGTGAAAACACCTTGCGATTGTTTTTATCCCCCCCCCCCTAATTCTCAAATTTCAGTAACCTAACTGGTCTGGATCAAGTTTTTTGCTCTATGTGACTGACCTTTAACACCACTGCATATTTGGCAAATTGTATTATGACAGTATTATTATTTTTTATGAGTTGATTTGTAAGAATTTGATTGGTTTTTCAAGTTTATCCTCCATGGACTGATATCATTTAGCGAACCATTAAAAGCCAGCTGGAGTACTAGACAGCTGTTTCGTCATCCTAGTTTAGGACTCATATGTAGTATGCATCCACTGCACTGGGATATGAACCCAGGACCTACTGCTTATAAGGCTAGCGAGCTCATATACCATACAGCCTCTGGGACTCGATCCAATGGCCAGTCCATGAATTCTAACTTCTGCTAATTGGCGACATAGTGCGATCACTTCGCAATGACTTCTTCGATGAGTTACTGCCTCACTGGGGGTGTGTACTTTTGAGGAGTCCTAAACTAGGACGAAACAGCTGCCCAGTACTCCTTGGATGTTTTCCAATGGTTCTCTAACTGATGTCAGTTCATGATGAAATCCTTCAACCAATCAAATGAAACACAATCTCTACAAAACCAATGCTTGGAAATTAATCTGATGCCGTGACCAGTAGGTATATAAGGTTGAAAGTGAGGCAGTAACTCATCGAAGAAGACATTGCGAAGTGGTGGCGCTATGTCATGAATTGGCAAAAGTTGCACTTCACTGGCTGTCCATTGAATTGGATCCTAGTGGCTTAATAGTCTACGAGATCGCTCGTCTTGTAACCAGAAGGTCCTGGGTAGGAACCCTGTGGTGGGTACGTACTGATGAAGAGTCAGTGCTAAACTAGGACGAAACAGATAGCTGTAGAACACTCCCTACAGGTTTTCCAATGGTTCTCTAACTTCTCCCAGCTCATGATGAAACCCTTCGAACAATCAAACACAATTCCTATAAAACCAATACTTGAAAACTGTGGGTTCAATTACATGAGTCAGACTAGTAGATCGACGTCGATTAGATCATTGGGATAAATAAATTTAACCATATCGAGCACGATAGATACTGCAACTTTAAATTGTCTGGAAAATTGCCCGGCCACTGCAATGCATTTACTTGCATGTAATTAAAAAAACAGTGTGGTACAGAGTATAAGTATTAAGAAGTAATATGCTGTCGGTTGGAAAGTAAGTAATATGTCCACCACTGAATCTTTGCCTATCGAAATAATTCCAACCATGTACAATCGAAATGATACAACACCTAGACCGGAAGTATGAAAATTACAGTAAGAAGACAGCATAGAATAGGGTTATATAAAACAAGTTAGCAAGTCGTGTGGTTATGACAAGTTAAGCACAGTTAGAGAACCATTGGAGATTAGATTCCTCCCTCGTAGCTGAGTAGTCAATAAGGAGTCCCAAACTAGGACAAAGCAACTATCCAGTAAGTGATCCATCGTTTCAATGATTGCTCACCAATGGAAGTCATTTCATGATCGAATAAAAAAATTAATCAAATCCCTGCAAACCAACAGTTGGTTGATATGAGAAACAAATTGTACTCGAAATGTCAATCAATTTATAATATTGTATTGCAACGACAAAAGACAAGGGCCAGGAAACAGATCGTTTATCGAAAGAATCAAGAGATATTTATAGATTTTTATGCACATTAGTATTCGTTATTGTTAGCACAATAACAGCGTCTTCTGATTGGTTGTTTTCTTGCTGAAGGTCATTCTGCCATCTCTTGTGGCCATTTCTTTGAAGGTCAGATCATCTATCTACGAATGGCGTCCGCCCACGCAAAGCCTACTGTGATTGGTTGTTGAGTTCCTCAAGGTTAGGCTTTGTTCTTGTTATTTTTTTCTCATGACCAAGATTTGGGGTGTAAACATTGACGTAAATTTCTGGCTACCAATTTTGTCTAGTAGACGGCTCTCACCATAGTATCACTCACTGTGGGTTATACGAATTGAACTCATGTAATGCGAAATTATATTCTATCATAGTGCTCCGATTGCTCTCTACATTTATTATTATTATTTCTGTTGACAAGATAAATTTCTATCTGCATTATTTCATCTTTTATCGATTTCTTTTCCCTCCCTATTTGTAGGAATTGTCTAAAATTACAATGCCAATAGTACTGAATGAGCCGCTAAGCTTTCTACAACGAATCGCTGAATATATGGAGTATTCTGAATTATTAGACGAGGCAGTTAAAGAAAGTGATCCTGTTAAACGCATGGAGGTGAGCTATTTATTATTATTATTATTATTAATAAAACATAAATAAAAAAATATATTGAATGAGTTATCGAATTATTTACTAATCACATTAATAATCTGCTTTATTCCAAAAACAGTACAGCATGAAATTGATGGTATTAGATGGTTGGAGGCAATCGGCAGGAAGCCTTGGACCTAGGTTTCGTGCTAGTTGGCACTCATCAGCAAGGCGTATCTGCAACTGTTAAGGAACTCATGTCGTCTGTCTGAGATTCGAACCCGCGTCACCCAGTGAGGCTGCAGTCAGAGCTCAGTTCGGACTCGCGATTGACCTGTAGTGGATATTTTGATTTGACACTAGTAACTAGTGTGATGCGTCTAGTCCTCTGATTGCTGTAGACTGAATTCCCTCAGTCAGGTTGTAATGTGACCAACATTCTAGCTAGCTCGCCATCACGGTACACATTGAATGGTGGTGACATTACAACCTGACTGATAGAATTTAGTCTACACCAATCAGAGGACTAGACGCATCACACTAGTTACTAGTGTCAAATCAAAACAGCATGGAATTCTCAGGATTTGTCACAGTATTGTATCTAATTTACTCAAAATATAATTAAAAAGTAACCCTTGAGGAATTTGTTCACATTTGTGGTAGGAATAAAGTCAAAAATGCACTAAGCACAAAATGAGAATTATGCCTGTAATAATTATGATGGTAATAACAACAGTGGATTTGTTTCAAACAATATTGTCAATATAGTATGGGAGTCTTAGCATGCTACAGAGTATTGAATCTAATGTCCTCGTGACTTACCATTGTGAGGCGAAAAACAAGGAAAAATAAAAGTTTTCAAGTGTTGGTTTGTAGGGATTTGATTGGTTTCAGGATTTCATCATGAGCTAACATTAGTTAGAGAACCATTGGAAAACCTGGGAGTACTGACAGCTGCTTCGTCCCAGTTTGGGACTCTTCAGCAGTACGCACCCACCCGGGATTCGAACCCAGGACCTTCCGGTTACAAGGCGACCTCGTAGACCATTAAGCCACTGGGACCCGATCCAATGGCCCGTGAATTCTAACTTCTGCCAATTCACGACATAGCGCGACCGCTAGCCAACGTCTTCGGCGAGTATTTTTCCTCACACCCGACCAGCTGCACCCTACTGGTCACGACTTCCCACTGGAACACAGGTAACTACCTACCTGAATAGGGCCAGTCGCCAGTGAGCATCTCATTAGTATTCAAGTGTTGGTTTGTACTCCCAGGTTTTCCAATGGTTCTCTAACTAATGTTAGCTCACGATGAAATCCTGAAAAATAAAAGTTATTCCAAAGGTCAAGTGATGTTTACATTTATGAGAAAATAAACAAAACAAAATAAATGAGAGGACTATAAATATAAACGGAATAATAAAAATAAACATTGATGGGATAAAGAAAAGAAGGTTAGTTAGTTAGTTAGTTCGTGCCTGACACTATTTTCATCACATGAAATACATGTCAAAAATGGTATCTTGGAATTTTCATGCTTAGACATGCGCACATAAAGTCTATTCATCAAATGACTTCTTGTTCTACCTGAGGAGATGCAAGATGGCAGTTGCAGGTACTGCAGTGGATTCTCACAGTCTGACAAAGTCCTTTTAACAAATTTGTTGAATAAAATCAAATGGCTATCAATAATGACGATGCCAACGATATAGCCCAATGGAATACCACTCGCCCTTCTGTCTGACAGTCTTCACACTTTTACCCTCTCTCTTTCTGTCTGGATTCAACATAGAACTTGGCACCGAAGTGCAGCAGTTCGAGTTGCCACGTTCCAAATAGCACACAAAGGTAGACAAGAAGATAAGTGAAGAGAATCAATAGAGTTTGACAAGTATAAGAGTGAAACAGAATGGGTAATGCTAGAAAGGAATATGAAAGATTACAGAGACTGAATACATCTGCGCTTGCCATTGACAACGACTTTGAGCCATGTCACCTATTGTCGCCAGCCGTTGATTCTTAAAGTCCTGACGACCCCAATTCAGAAGTCTGCATCTCCCTACCTGACTCAGTTTAACTGTCAAGGATTTCATGGATTGATGAGGCCGTGTTTTTGTTTGGCCCTCACTTACTCTTTTCCAACCTGCACCTATAACACCACTGGTTGTTATCAATTCAGATGACAATCCCCATAAGCCCTTTCACGACTACGTGAGTTTGAATAGAGTGCCTTGATTAGTGAAATGTACTTTCTTGGCACTCCCTTCACAGTCAAACATTGCCATAGTACCTTTCGATCCACGGAGTCGAAGGCCGCCTTCAAGTCAAGAAATATGACGATTGTTGGACGCCGAAATGTGTGTCTATGTTCTAGGATCTGTCGGAGAGTGAAGATATGATCTATGCACCCCCTACCTGGTCTAAAGCCTGCTCGATTTTCCCTCGTTTGTTCCTCCCGAGTTCTGCTTAGTCTATGCATGATGACTGAGCCTAGGATTTTAAAAACTATATTCGTTAGGCTGATCCCCCTATGATTATCACACGAGGACTTGTTTCCCTTCTTGAATATCGGTATAATAAGTGACTTATCCCAGTTTGATGGAACCGTCTGTGATTCCCAGACGTTGCCTAGTAACTTAGTTAATCTTAGTTAATTTTAGTTAATCACAGTTCTACAGATTATTGCATAGTCCTTTTTAAGCAACTCAGGAAAGAATAAGGGTAAAGAATAGGTAGGATGCAAGAGTTGACAAAGTGTAGGCGGGGGAGTTGAATTATTCCTGAGTGCTTCAACTTCTTAGTGTAAAGCGTCAGACGGAATATTTTACTATAGTCGCTAAGATAAAAAAATAAATAAATAAATAAAATAAAGAATTCCTGGTGGAACAGACAGCTTCAAATTTTGTTTTGAAGTTACAATAGCAATAGAGTGTGGGTTTTATGCTGTGAGAGGTGCCTAGCTTCTTGCCCAACTTTCCCTCTTTTTTGAGTTTTATCACTAGGTAGGCTTTAGGAGTGTACACTGGCCAAGAATCTGAAACTGTCCGTGTACATTGCTGGCTAGAGCATTTCATCATTTAACCACTGACGCAATATCCAATTCTGATGAATATTATTTTAGTGGTAGAATGCTCGGCAGTCCTGTGAGAGGCCCGAGTTCGATTCCCGATCGATGCACTCGTAAACCTTTCATATTTTACCAACCCGGTAGTTAGTAAGTCCGAGTAAAGTATGGAGTTTGGACAATGAGGTTAACAACTCAGGAGTTAAAAATATCACCCCTTCCCCAATAAAACCTCCAAAAAAGGTTGAAGCTATATACTCCATTCCGAACTCAAAGGAGTCAAAGCTAAAAACTATTGTTTCCGTATGTGTATGTGTGTGTGCGTGTGTGGGAGACATTTTATAAGTTGGGAAGATATACTGTCTGTCTGTCTGTTTTCGACATAGAACTTTGCACATATGTGCGGTAGTTCAAGTCACCACACTCCACGTAGCACAGAAAGCAAGAGGAGAAAGTAGAAGAAATGCATATTAGAGACAGTAAACAGAGGTGTGAGACAAAGGAATAGTAGTAACGAAGATCAAAACAGTTTCATTGGAAATCATAAGTCACAAGGAGTGGATACATCTGCGCCAGCCACTGAGAACGATTTTCAGCCATGTCACCAATTGTTTCCAACCATAGATTTTTACCGTCCCGAGGACCCCAGTCTGGAAGTCTACACCTTCCTACGTGGCTTAGACCAACTGTTGTGGATTTCATTGACTGGTGCCAAGTTTTTGTTTGACCTCCGCTAGCTTTTTTCCAGCCTGACCCTACATCTGCTAACATTGCTCGTCGAGGGAGGCGATGACTTGGCATACGTAACACATGTCCTAACCATCTCAGTCTTTGTAACTTCACGACTTCGTCGATTGATTTCCCCTGTTTACCTAGAACTCGACGCCTAACTTCAATGTTGCTCACCTTATTATGCCACTTTACACGGGAAATAGAACGCAGGCACCGATGATTAAAGACAGCTAATCTTTTCATGGGGAAGATATACAGCTGTAAGCAACGCACCTCATCTTGTAAATTAATCATTCAGTATACACAACTCATGCATCAGTGATTCAAAAGAATTGAGGCTCTTAATCATATTGACTGATCCACCTTTCTCATTAATTTAATCCTTTATGTCGTCATTAATTGTTCTGTAGTTCAATCATACTGGAGAGATTGAACAAAGGTATTTATGGTCTGTGGTAAATTCGTAGGATCCTCGCCAACCATTCACCTGGTCCGAGCTTCGACTCACAGCCGACACACTCTAGGTGGCTAGCAACCTCACTTTGCATAAAGACTTTTCAAAGCTCAGGCCTGGAGCTTTATGTTCCGCTGGGAATGCAAAAGAATCGTAAAAAAAATTGATGGTCGAAAAATTTGTAATCATTTCAGTCATATAAATAGGTTGATAACAGTTAAAGTAGGCTGAATAATTCAATTATGAGTAAGCTCTATCTGCATATGTCAGTTGAAATCTTCTGAGAACTTGCGTTACCTGCTATTAGACCACCGAGAAATTCTGTACTTTCTTAGACTAAAAGTTATTGAATCCTCTTTTCTTTGTGAAATTGTTAAACCAAACGGTTGAATCATTATTTCACAGGCATCCAATCGTGTAGACATGCCCAGATCACGCTATCATCCCATAGCAGAAACTTTAGAAACACTGTTAAGAAGCTAATAGGGTTGCATTCATTGAAAAATTCGTTTGAATTGATGAATGTAAAGTTTGATTAATTATAATTATTATTATTGTATTATTATTATTTCCTTTAATTCCTAGAGGAACATAGGGCTTCAGCTGCGTGTCTCCATTGCCTTCTGTTTTCTGTCAACTTTTTCACCCCGCTCCAAGTCTGCCATCCACACGCTTTCATCTTCTCCTCACATGACCTCCTCCATGTCACCCTTGCACTGACGACCAACTCGCCGCCCTCTTCCCTTTCGTCCTGGTTCCACTCGAGCAATGGCT